TCCGATTCTGTGTCTCCCTCTCTCTCTGCCCCTCCCCCCGTTCATGCTCTGTCTCTCTCTGTCCCAAAAATAAATAAACGTTGAAAAAAAAAATTAAAAAAAAAAAAAAGCAACCACTTATGTTTCAAGATGTCGCTACAACGAGAGGAGAGAGGGCGGTGGTTGGTTACCTTCATTTCGTGGAATGTCAACAGTAAATAAAGCAGAGCACTTTCTTATTCAAAGATGAAGAAACACAGTGTGTTGAAAATTGAGGTCAAGTAAAATCCTTTACTCCATTTAGCAAATGTCATAACCCTCTTTTGTTTCCTTCACTGCTTTTCTCTCTTCTAAAGAGATGCAGCCTCCTCCAACCCCTCCCAGCCCCTTCCCCAGAACAGACCAGAACCTCTTATTTTCTCCTATTTCCAGGGGGTAAAAGGAAGGATATTTAAATAATATTCAGATAACAAAAGCTAACAAATACAATAAAAAAAGGAGCTACCACTGATTGACTCCCCACTATGTGCCAGGCACTGTTGTAGTGAATTTACATACAGTTCCTCACAATCACTGCACCAGGAATAATTTCCTGTCTTCTATGAGGAACCTGCCCAAGGCTTTACCACTAGCTAAGCTCTGGCTGGTCCAGAAGGTCAGCCCCACTGCCCTCTCCACAGCCCGCGCTCCTGCCCCTCTGCTCTAGTGATGCCCATCTGGGAGAGAGGGATAATATGGCAAATTAAGAACAAGTTATTATGACAAACTGAGGTGTAAAAATTCTTTAATATATAAAAAAAGCATTCAACAAATCCAGTCACAAAGAAGTTTAACCAGTTCATCGATCCATCGCGCATCTCTTAGGAGCATGAGGAACAAAACTGGAAGAAAAGTAAGTCATAGAAGGAACTCTTACCCCTCTATGATGAAGTGCTTAGTGCAGGTCCTGGCCCATAAATAAGGGTGTGTTTCCTCGGCTATAAATGCAGACGTTAGTTTAACTTCCCAAGTCTCCTACCTACAGAATTTTTTTTTAAGTTTATAAATTTTAAATTTCTGTGTACATTATTTGCTATCAATGAAAACAGGGGCACCTGGGTGGCTCAGTCCATTAAGCGTCCCATCCGGTCATGACCTCGCAGTTTGTGAGTTCGAACCCCACATCGAGCTCTGAACTGATGGTGCAGAGCCTGCTTGGGATTCTCTGTGCCCCTCCCCTCCCCACATTCTTCCTCTCTCTCAAAATAAATAAACATTAAAAAAAAAATAATTGATTCAGATAATCACTACTTTTTATCTAATTCCCTAATAAGGAAGTATCAAACCATGCGGACCTATATGTTTCACAGGCTAGAGGAGCACAGTTAGAGAAGGAAATATAAGGGATAACCAAAACCACGACCTCACAGCTATCAATGAACAATACGAAAGTATTCTGCAATACTGTGAATAATGTAGATAATGAAATGTGTGGGGAGATACGGCAGAAAGCACTTGCATGCAAAGAACCTGCAAAGTTTTCCTTTAATATTCAACTAAATGTCAGTGAACGTATTTAAGACTTATTTTTAAAATCGATTAATCTCAAAAATCAAAATTTACCTTTGTATCCTTCATTTGATGTAGTGCAACTTTCCTAGGAATTAAATTATATTAATCCCCCAAATCACCAGGCCGACAAATCATCTAATTCAGTACATTTTCATTACAGGAGACAAATATAAACCCATCTGTAATATATTCTATAGAGCAACTGTTCACGAAAAGGAATTTGGTAAGTCATGTGAAAAATCCTGTATTTTTGTTCGCAGATCTCATATTTTTAATCAGATACAATGTTGACACATAACTTGACAAGACCTTTCGTAAATACGTTGCTTAGTATGTAACAAACTGAAATCTCAGACTCAGCTAACAATACCAAAGATGTGATGGGGCTAGTAAAGGACCTATTACATGTAATGAGTTAAATAACACACTCTTACCTACTACATACGTCACACACATACACACACAGAGAAGCATAAACAATGGGGTGATGACTTACTGAGCAGTTAGACATTCTTTCAATGCAGAATTTTCTTTTCGGCATTTTACTACCATAAGGATTCCAGAGTCCTTGCAACATTTGGTAAAATCTGAAAAAATGTGGAAAGAACAAAACAGCCTGCAGTTACATCAACACAATTTTCAACAGCTCTAAAATATTCATCCACTTAACATCCGTTACCTAGATTGTGCCTGGCACACGGCACACCCTCCACAAAAGACACACACATGAATAAAAGGCAGAACCGGACGGGTGCCGTTAACTCTGCAGGAATAAAGAAGGAACTCTGAAAGGGGGGGAGAGAGGACCTCTGAGGAGGCGTCATGGAGAGAGAAGGGACGTAGAGAATAAGGGAGATTTCTAACAGAAATAGGGGATCTTTCACAAGAAATGAGTAAGGAGGGTAAAAGGGAAGCCGTTTCCAGACACGGGCATCTGGCGTCTAGTTTCGCGTGTCTTCGATGGCGTCAAGGCACCCCCTTTAAGACAAAGCTGCCACGGTGCCTTGACTTCTGATGACAGAACTCCCACTCCATTCCCAAGGCAACTCTTAGACGCCCCTGAAAATTCAAACGGCTTTCTGTCAAATTTCCATTCTAGTAGTTTGCCTTTTAGATTGTACTGGTCCCTTGGTATCCTGCCTTCTCAGCACTGCCAACCCAGAAGAGCCTGGCGCCATAATCCGGTTTGCTTTGGGTCGGACTCGGTCCGACCTCACTCCTGCCACAGGACCACGTGCCATGCCGCAGCTACTCCTGACTATCCTGGTCCTTCCTCCTGTCCACCGGCTGCTCTAGTTTCAGCTCTGCCATTTCCAACCTGCTGCAAGTAACCAACCATGTCAGACTTAAATACGAGATCATCTTCACAAAGAAGCTGTAGGTAAAACAGTGTTTTCTGAGTATCTTTTATAACCCCTTTAATGCAAAGTTAACAAGAATGCTCTCTTTTCTTGAGCTATGCCTTACCCTCCTAGTGCCTAAAGAATAGAATTTATAATGATCTCAAAGCAAGCAGGTAATTCAGGGGTCTCCATGAAGACACATAATATGCAACAAAATATTTTCAAGCCGCAAGCAAACTGGAAATAACTGAGATTTATGAAATGTATAAAAAACTCACGAGAGGGGCTGTGCTGGGATAAGAGTCCCAGAGCACAGACATTTGTATCTACATGAAGCGTCACAGCACGCTCTGAAGGATATGTGGCAGGATAGGAACAATGACAACAGATGCAGGAAATGACTTTAATTCAAATAGTTTCATGTGTGCGATCCCATGAAACTGTGGGTGACACGCAGTGACACTCCGCATCAAAGACACACAGGATTAGCTTCCTTTAGCTGCTTGTTCTCCACCCTTGGCGATCCCGCCAGTGGCCTTCTGGCTCCTGAACCCAGCCAGGTATCTTGTTTATTTCAACTACAAATATTCTTGTTCCTCTCTGTGCACATGAGCTGAGCTCATGAGCCACATCAGACCAAGGGAATTTCCTTTGTGCTCTCTGACTAAAGACTCCCTACAACTCAAAAGGCAAATCAGACTCACAATCAGCTCATTATTAGTGGTGAACCTGAGGGGTGGCTACATGGCTATCAAAAAGTCCATTAACTTCCACTCTGGAATGTCATTAGCATCCCTGCATGTAAATTCTCTACTCACATTATGATACTAAGATCTACCTTTCTATAAGTAACGGTTATGATTCCAGATAAGAACTAAGACCTGGGAAATCCTCAAAGGGAATGCAGGTACATAAAGTTAACCCAGAAGTGACTAAATCTGGGTAAGGGATTCTTGAAGGGAACTGCCATGCTCCATGGTGAAGAACCATGAGCTTATTCCTCTCCATCACCCAACCTTGGTATAAAGGCACTAGACCAGACCAGTTCATGCTTCTAGATAATGTCTAGAAGAAAGATCATTAGCATCCTGAATTTGCCTAATGAAAATATGCAAGCTGATCAAAACCCTCCTTTTCTGGAAAACACAAACACAATGGCTACTAAAAAGCCCACTTTCTGGGTTATAACAGACCCAATACTTTTACATTTGATAGATTCAAAACAGAATACTTAGACACTGTATTGTTTTCAGATGCATTTTCCCTAATATGAATAAAAATGTTCTTAGTAAGGAATTGATGCAAGATACCATTTATGTGTTCTGACCACAATAAAGACACAGTCTATATATTTTCACACTTGTCCAAATCTCTTCAGGAATAACTGTGACTGGCCTAAAGCCTCAAGCTGTTTGTGAGGTTTTTGTCACTTGTTTGGCAACAAGATTTTAATGAGGATCTTTCTTTCATACCGTATTAGCATACACTCATATAATAATGATGTTGCTAATCCTGCTAACTGAATGGTACTCTAAGACAATTTAAAGTCTTTGTCTTTCAGTGTGATGTTAAATGTTACAAAGTTTGTATGCCTATATATAATTTAACATTAATTACCAGTAAAGATTATCAAAATAAAATTTCATTTATTTAAGTACATGTGTAGGAAATACAAATGAAAATCCGTAAACAGTAAGAACAGAGAGGTTGCTAAAAAAGTTATTTCAAAATTTAAAGAAAGGTACTTTTAAAGATAACATTCCAGACTTTTTTCTTAAAAATGTCAAGAACATGGGGTGCCTGGGTGGCTCAGTCAATTCAGCGTCCGACTTCGGCTCAGGTCATAATCTGCTGGTTCATGAGTTCAAGCCCCACGTTGGGCTCTGTGCTGACAGTTCAGAGCCTGGAGCCTGCTTCAGATTCTGTGTCTCCCCCTCTTCCTCACTGCCACTCCCCCATCAGAGACACTGTGTCTCTCTTAAAAATAAATATTAGAAAAGAATGTCAAGAACATGATATCTATTCTTCTCAAACTACTCCAAAAAATAGAAGAAGAAGGAAAACTTGTAAATTCATGATACAAAACCAGTATTACCCTGATGCCAAAACCAGAGAAAAAAACACTACAAAAAAGGAAAACTACGGGCCAATATCTCTGATGAACATAGATGCAAAAATCCTGAAAAAAATATATATATATAAGTAAACCAATTTCAACAATACATTTAAAAATGCACTACAATCAAGTGAGATTTATTCCAAAGATACAAGAGTGGGTCATTACTCACAAATCAATCAATGTGATACATCACATTAACAAGACAAAGGGATCAAAAACCATATGATCATCTCAACAGATGCAGAAAAAGCATCTGACAAAATGCAACACCTGTTTATAATAAAACCTCTCAACAAAGTAGGTTCAGAGGGATCGCACCTCAACATACTAAGGTGACACATGAAAAACCCATGGCTAGCATCATACTCAATGGTGAAAAACTAAGAGCTTTTCCTCTACCATCATGAAGAAGACAAGGATGTCCAGTCTCACCGCTTTTATTCAACACAGTACTGGAAGTCCTAGCTGTAGTAATCAGACAAGAAAAAGAAATAAAAGGCATCCAAATCAGGAAGGAAGAATAAAACGGTCACTATTTGCAGATGACATGATGTTATATATAGAAGACCCTAAATTCTCCACCAAAAAACTGTTAGAATTAATAAACTGATTCAGTAAACTTGCAGGATACAAAACTAACACATAGAAATTGGCTGGGTTTCTATCCACTGATAATGATTTAACAGAAAGAGAAATTAAAAGAATCCCACTTACAACTGCACCAAAAAGAACAAAATATTTAGGAATAAACTTAACCAAGCAGGTGAAAGACTTGTAACCTGAAAATCATAAAACACTGATGAAAGAAACTGAAGACGACACAAACGAATGGAAAGATATCCCATGCTCATGAACTGGAAGAACAAATATTGTTATAATACCCATACTACACAAAGCAACCTACAGATTTCATGAAAACCCTACCAAAATACCAACAGCATTTTTCACAGAATAAGAACAAATAACCTTAATACTGATACAGAACCACAAAAGAACCTGAACAAAGCAATCTTGAGAAGAACAAAGCTAGATCACAATTCCAGATTTAAAGATATGCTATAAAGCTTTAATAATCAAAACACTATGGTATGGGCAGAAAAACATAGATGAATTAAACAGAACAGAGAGCCCAGAAATAAATCCACACTTATACAGTCAATTAATCTTTGACAAAAGAGGCAAGAATATGCAATGGGAAAAAGACCGTCTCTTCAACAAATGATGCTGGGAAGCCTGGACAGCTACATGCAAAAGGATGAAACTGGACCACTTTCTTACACCATACACAAAAATAAACTCAAAATGGATGACTAAAGACCTCAATGTGAGGCCTCAAACCATAGAACTTCTAGAAGAAAACATTAGCAGTAATCTCTTTGACATCAGCCTTGGCAACATTGTTTTTAGGTATCTCTCCTGAGGCAAGGGAGACAAAAGCAAAAATAAACTATTGGGACTACATCAAAATAAAAAGCTTTTGCACAGCAAAGGAGACCATGAACAGAATGAGAAGGCAACCTATTGAATGGGAGAAGATATTTGCAAAAATCTACTATTTAAAAGAAATTAAAAAGCTTAAGGGGAATACTCAAGATTTATTATCTCTATTTATTAGAATATAAATTAATGGCAATAAGATGTGATTCCAACAAAAAGCATTTAGTATGTAACACTTGGAACAGAGATGACTTCTACTTATGGAAAGCCAAAGGACAATGACACATAAATGATACATATGACCCTGTCCAGGGTCTACAATGGTTCCTGGAGATGTTCTGGGGAGGACTGTAGAATAGGAAGATTCGAAGCTCATATTGTCCCACGGATACAACTAGATAACATTCACATCAGTATAAAAGACCCAGAAAATGTCCCCAAGACTGGCAGAACAAACCGCACACTGAAGTGTAGAGAAGAGCCCACCTCAAAGAGGGTAGGAAGCGTGAAAACACAGTCAGGAACTAAATGGACTTGTGGGACTGTCCACTGGAGGGAGGGATGCCAGGGTTATGGGAAGGGAAAAGAAACAAACTCTTACACTGGGGATCCCACATGGGAAAGAAAAATCCCCATAACATTTGGCTTTGAAAACCAAAGGGGCCAAATTTCATGAGTTCTTAGAATT